AGCCAACATATATTTTTACATCATAAAAATTTTCAGTATTTAACAATCTCTCATTTTCGTTAAAATATTTTTCAAATGTTGAATTCATTTTATGACAAAAAAGATTGTGATAAACAGATCAACATACTAGATTGTAGACAAAATGTCCCATTTTAATTGTAAATAAAATAAAGTGATACAACTAAATTGAATTACTATATATTAAAGTCTTTGAAGCATTATAGTTTAGCAAACTATCATCATATACTTGCTTTAGTTATATGATATTTTAAAATATAACAGCTTATTGAAAGACAATAAATGTAACAGTTGACTTATAATGAGCATACATAATGTTTTTGAATAATATAATTGGAATTGCTCATTATTTAAAAGAAATTTTATTAAATCATCAATTGTATTAATTGGAGTATGATTTATACTAATCAAATTTATATATATAATAGTTAATAATAATTTATCATTTTTATGCCTGGAATTTTAGTGCAGAATTCAGCGGCATAGACACTTAGTTGAGATGAGACTATTTGCATTACTTAAATCAACAAAAGAAGTAAACATACATTTGCTCAAAAAAAAAATACATTACTTGTAGCAGGATAAAAGATAATAATGGCTTTTATTGCCTTTCCCTTCAACGATTTATTATTAACAATAACGCCAACTAGAATATTTTGATGTTGAATTTATAAAAAAAAAATCAATAATAGTTAACATTTGTTAAGATGTCAAAAGTTTGTCCTTTATTAACTTAAATTGTGCATTTTAGCGAACGTTTCAAGTTGCAAGCTCTCTTTTGTTTATTTACAAAACAACTTAAGTAGCCTATTTGCTATAACAATTTTATTAAAATAACATTAACAGTACTTCCAACTAAAGCAAATAAGATTTATTAACATTCACTAGTTAATTTCAACCTTTGCTTGCTCACTAAAGCAAATAACATTTACTAATCGTTAACATTCATTAGTTGCACAATATTTGGAGTATAAGGTCAAGTGAGAGTCGTACTAAAGAAAAATTGCAAGTTCAATATAGCAATTCATATTCCCAACACCATTACAGCATTATATAAGGTGAGTACCGTGTTAAAGAGCCAATACGTACTTGTTGCATGGTTATTTTTTTTCCTTTCTTCAGTATGGTGCTCACTTAACCACCAATATAATACGTACTTCCTACTATAACTTTTGCTTACTAAACAAACAAAACATGGCCTTTTGCCAAAGCTCCATAATTGTTGCTTTTTTACCAAAACACCTTGTTTTAAACGGAAAATAAAGTGATGTTTTTATTTTTTTTGAATGTAATGTTATTTTCTTTCCTACTCGATCAAGTGAAGACTCGGACGAAGTTGTCTTCTACCTTTTTCAAGCAAAGACCGGAATACACATGTGGTTGAAGCCCCCAGACTTTCGGACCTAGTTTTAGTTTTAGATTTCGTCCAGTTTCGAGTAAAAAGATTACTATCCAATACTGAAACCCCATCCGAACGTTGAAAACTCCTATATAAGGGTCGAAACTTTTAGAAGTTCCAAATGTAACTGTTGTATGTGAAATTGAAATTATGTGAAATTGAAATATTATGGAGTGGAGTGAGATTCTGATTGGCTAATTTGAATTTCACGCATGTAAATTTGAATTTCACATAATTTCATTTTCACGTACAACATAACCATACTAATGGAATTATATATAAGATTTTCCGAAGTATTTTAGGAATAATTTTTTTTTTGCAAACGACGATATAATTCTAGTGAAAGGAAAACAAGACGCTGTATTAATCCCACGGCATAATAATAATGATTAATATCGAAGCATTAACTAGAAATATGATAATGATAATTAGTAAATTTTAAATTTATATCTTACCTATATTTTTTTGTATACACGTTTTAAAAAATAATTTGCAGTTTCGACCAAGTTAGAGTTTCCATTTGTAATACTTTATTTGCTTTATTTGTTTATTCGTTTATTATTATAAAATTATTATTATTAGTTTTATTCGTTTTATTAGTTTTATTCGTTTCATTCGTTTCATTCGTTTTATTTGCTTTCATTCATTCGTTCCATTCGTTCCATTCGTTCCATTCGTTCCATTCGTTTCATTCGTTCCATTCGTTTCATTCAATTCATTCATTTTATTCAAATTATTATTGCTCAAATTATTTGTTTTACTCAAATAAACATTTGAATAGAAAACCTGATATAATATTATTTTAGTACAAAGAGCTTTAGAAATATTTAACCAATAACTTAATATAAAGAGCTATTGGTTTATTAAACTAAGCCAACAATTAACTAAAAAAAGGATTAATTTTAAAAGAATATCTGATAAATATTGGCACTATCAATATTTACTAGTAGGCTTTTATACTATATAATAAAAATATTATTAACTTACCAGTATGCTAATACCATAATTATTTTTTCCAGATTACGATATTTGCTGATGCTCATTACCAATTTGGCATCATTTGACCAGTAAAAAGAGAACCAATTAGATTATATATAAGCAAAGAAAGATGGGACCGCAAAAGAATTTTAAATCATGCACAAACATAACAGCATGATAGCTTGATTGACATAGTAGTGCAGTCTTGCAATTTTTTTTTATTGTATGTTTTAAATACAATTAATCATACATCTTTAATAAAACAAACATGACTTAGCTATTTAATCATTTCCTTCATTTCCTTGTATATGAATGTTTCCATCCATCAAATATTCATGATGGTCATGATTATTATTCAATACATTTGATGTTATAATTGACATAACAAACAATT